TATATATATAGACTGTAAATTGTAGATTTTAAAAACATTGCGATAATTTCAACCCTTCAGGCAATGTGAACAAGAAAGCTATATCTATTGTGGCTCGTGGTAAGAAGGTAAAGAAGGCTACCGCAAAGAAGAGTTTGCTAATGAAGGCACTGGCTCATAATAAAGCTTTGGCTAGGAAGAGGCTGGTCGCCTAAGCAGAATTGATCAAGAACAAAAATATATACACATGTGCCTTGGAGTTCGTATATATTTTCCTGAAGTAATGTCGGTTTTAACGGGCTTTTTTTTTTCAAGAAAATGGTATCTGGTTAAGGGAATGTAAATCAACAAAAGTGCTAAAGATTAAGATGATGACAAACTGAATTGGCAAATAAAGTTCTGACATTATGTGTAATTTGTTTTTATGACATCAATAGGCCATCTAATATGTATAGATGTGTATCTAAGATTTTTTTAAATTTCATATATTATAGTGACTTTAAATCCAATTCACAAAATGTGATTGAAATAATTTTGGAGACACCCACACACTTCTTTTTTTTTTGATGACGTGCCTATGGATTTAAATTAGTGTAGGTAAAAATTTTCATGTGTATTTTTTAAATGGTACAATTCTTTTTTTTCTCTCTACTAACTTTTAAGTGTCATCCTTTAATTATTTACGCATTATGGCAAGATAATCAAGGTTTACTAATTGTTGTAGGGTAGTAAATCACAAACAACAATCTAATGTGAAACAGACTAATTATGGTATATATACATGAATGCATATAGCCTAAATGTACGGGTTTATTTGTTAATTAAAAATCTTTGTAGAAGCGCTTTGCAATCCCGGTATTACGTTGTCTTTATGTAAATTGAACTAGTACAATCAACAATTTTGTCCGGGATGGGAAAATTTCTAATCTCAATTACAACGTCTTAATCATGCTATACAAAACAGAAAACAGAAGAAAATTTAAACTACGGAATCTCTCTTTATATCAATAATATTAAATAAAAAGGATTTCAAAAAGATGTCTTCATGTTAACTACAGTAACAAATTATAAATCTAGTACTGCAGCATGAAGCACATGAAGCAGTTTTGGACGCAAGATAACACTAGGCTGTGATTGCTATGAAAATTTTTCCCACTTATGCTACCGTCGAGAAGATCGGGGACATCGCATCCCGCAATATGTCGGTACAGTGTCTGGGCCTGCACATTCTGTTTATCTTGGATTGATTATGGTTGTACTCATTAAACCTGTTTTGATTAAACCTCTGGGGAATAGGAATAACATGTACCTGTTTTGATTAAACCTCTGGGGAATAGGAATAACATGTGAAAACACAGCGTTGCTCATATTATTACTAACTGCAACCTGTCTCTTATACACATCTAGATGTGTATAAGAGACAGGGCAAAAATTGAGGCCGATAGAGATAACAATATTCTAGGGGGTCACTAGGGGCATGCCCCGCGAAATGTCTGTGTTCTAGACGCCCGAAAATAACCTCTGAGGCCTTTTGGGCGATCAAATTTTCTACCCGCGCCAGCTAGGTCCTCTTGGATTCACGTCTGGGTATCTTTTCTTTCAACAAGATTTCTGGACCACCATGATATTCTGAGACCCATTTTTTCAATACATAAAGCTGTCATAAAGTCAAAATGTTTGGTTGTGTTTGTGGTCTGTTTTTATCTTCGTTTTATAGACAACCCGTGTGTGTCTAAATGAGGAAAACCCCGCCTTTGGCCCATCGAAAACAAAGTTGTTATAAAACATTTGTATTAATAGTAGAGCACTTCACAGATTATGGGAATACACTAAGAATGTATGTCTTCGTTTTATAGACACAATATCCTAGGTATTCAACCTTTTTGCGCCGCACATTTAGGCTGCACAGTCAAGAGGAAACAGTCATTAAGAAAATGTAGGTAGCGGTAGCTTTTACTACGAAGGAATGGGAATTCCGAACTTAGTCAATGCACAAGCGCAGTTACCAAAGAACATGCATGAAACGTTTAAAAAAAAAAAAAACAGTGAGCATGCGCTTGGTGACAGCCATGGTGAGCATGTGCACTGAGTAAGTGACGTTGTCGAGCATGCCCAGTTACCAAAAAGTCATCTCAGGAACCAAACAGCGTCTGCGATGAGGGTCTGAAATAGAAATGGGGAAAATCGAACCTTTTATGTAACAATTAATTACAACTCACCTACAGTGTAATAATCGTTAGGGAGAATTGTAATTAAATTAATAATCGTTAGGGAGAATTGTAATTAAATTATCGAAAGCAACAGTTTATTTGACTCTATCGCCGTACGTACGTATGCGTTGACAATCCAATTGAAAAATTGAATATAAACAAACAAATAAATAATAATAATAATAATAATAATAATATCATTAATAATAATAACAATATAATAATAATAATAATAATAATAACAACAACAACAACAACAATTATAGTAAGAACATAAGTTAAAGAAAATCTATGGTAGACCTAATAGGCCTACATAAACTCGTATCACACTTTCTACATTTCTAATGTGGAATACTTTAGTATTTAATATTTTTTTTTTATTATTTTACCTGTGACCGCAATGTAAATAACTTCATGGCTATTGTTACACCAGTCGTAACCAAATTCTACATGTAGGCTCTAATTTATTATGTTTATGTGTCTTATCATAAAGCAAATGCATTAAAGACTGTCAAACGAGTCATAAGTTGAAGATGTTGCGGCGTTTTTATAGGAAATATTTCTTAAGTTAAGTTTGTGGCAGTTCCAGATAAATTGTGTAGGGGCCTACTTTCAAATTTTTGTTTCAATGCCAGCACCCATGACACAACGATGTGTATAAGAGACAATACTATATTCAGGAAATAGATTAAAACATCCCAGGAATACATAGAGAGCACTTTATTACACATTAAATAAACTATCCTCTCCTCGGACAGCATTCCGGTTATTTTCGAGTCTAGGTTTCAATCCAGATTAAGGATCATTTATGGAAGTGATACTTAGTCTGGTTGTATTAGGCCTGAGGGCCTATATTATATAGTTAACAAAATAACAATTTGTTGTCTATTTTTGTCTGAGTTTTATTTTTACAGGGGGAGGGGAAAATATAACCCTAGATCCCCGTAGCCTCGGCCCTGGCAACGACAAGAATGGTATGGTGAATTTGAAATCAAACAGCGTTGGAAGTGAAAACAAAATGTTAAAACAATACAAGAAAATTGAGAAGATATCTAATTAATAAGCGTGATAATACTGTATTAATTCAATAATTGGGAAGTCACTAAAATGTAACGTTTTACAGGCTCTATATCCAGTGGATGGGTTAATGCCATCGGTACGTACGTACCTCTCCAAATTTGAAAAGGTTCACATTTTCATGAGAGTTGAGAATCCTCTGAATATAAAATTAGTGATTTTCTGTGATTTTAACAAAAAATCTTAATTTTTTACATTTTAACCAGTGATCTATTGTGCCGTGATCTGGACAAACGTATTATATCCAATTTTGAGATTTTTGGTTTAGGGGCACCTTGCGGATGTAATCTATCATGTGAATTTATCATATAACCAAAACAAGGTTTAGAAATATGAAATTATTATAATAGTTACCGTACGCATTATATTCATCCACACAAGCAACACATATTGGAAGAGCAATATATCCACCAAGCATTAAAAATTTGGCAATCGTTGGTGCGCGCATAAAACGTAATTTCTTGTAATTTGGATATAACTTGACGTGTATAATGATATTGATATACAATCAAAATTCTCCGTAACTATCTATGCTGAATATTTAAAGAGCGAACGTCCTTATATTGTGGTCATATTAGACTATAGTATTTCTTGGAATCTTGATGTATGAGATCGATAATCAATCAAAATTCTTTATTAAGTACAAAACACACATTATTTATGGTAAATTTCACCATTTTTTAATAAATTGATTATTTATATTGTATAAACTCACTAAACAAATATCAATAACAATTTACGGTTTCATTATAATTGGAACATTTGCATACCTCCGAAACTGTTCAAATACTGAACTAGGCATATAGTTCCCATTTAATTTGCCTGCTTTCTACAAAATGCGACATTTCCGGCCTTCACGATGATACGTCGTACGACATTTCGACGCCTGTTGAGGAAAGTCTGGTAAAACTTTGCTGGAAAATATCATGTGACTATAATAATATAATAATAATAATCTAACACGCACAAAACAGATAGTTGGGCCAATATAGTAACAACCCATTTTATGTGAAACTGACCCATGAAATTGACCCAATATGTTGGGTCAACTATCTAGATGACCCATTCTAGGTTGCATTAACCCAGAACTGGGTCAGAAAATTTAAACCCAAATATTTAGTCAAAAATTTGACCAAGTGTTTTTAGAGTGTAGTAGAGCATTGTGTTAAAATTGCAGGTCTCTAGAAAAGTCATGCGAAAAAAAAAGATATAGTTTGTATCGTTTGGCTGGGATCAATGTAGTCTGTGTTTGTTTGATTTCATTTGATTTATATCTTTTAGCAATGTTGCGCGGGCCTGATCAAAGTCCTTCGCGGGACAGAGTTGGCCCGTGGGCGGGGGATGAATACCAGTGCCTTATTGACTTGCCACAAATCTCTAATTTATTGATTTTTCGTAGTATTAGCACATTTCGGAAAGCGCTACCAGCGTTAGTTTATGTCAATAAACTTTTTTGATGCGAATCCAAGAAAAAGTATACTATGAAACGCCAAGCAAATAGGTAATATGGAACGTCATTGGTGCCTAAATCCATTTTTCCAGCTTTTTTACTGATTAAGACAAAGTTTAGGGACTGGAACCCAGTCTAGTGCCCTATATGAATGTCTACAAAACGAATACAGAAGACCCGAAAAACGAAAACCCCTATTTTCTCTTTGACTTTAATGAAAATACTATCAGACCACAATTTAATAATTGTTGAATTGCCTTTCACACCCAGAACTACGAGAAACACCTTTTACTTAAGAAAACTCCCTGATGATGACCCAACAAAGTGTCGAAATATTGAATCCCAGCACGATTGCGTGCAGACCTATATCATTTCTTGGAGTATGTATTAGGCTTATTCTTTCGTATTTGAAAATAATCAGTGGACCCTCTGGTTTAAAACTTCCTATTTTAGTTAAAAACTACCCTCTAAGTATAACGGTACAGTCTAATAATTTAAAAATCTAAATTTTCTAGATCTAGAAAACTCAGATAAGCCTATCTGATTTTTTTAGACACGGAGCACCCCACAGTTGAACATAGTATTTCATAAATAATGTAAAGGTGCCATTACCAAATATAATTTTGACACTTCAAATCAATTTCTTGATTTCAAAATTAAAGTCAGTGAAATCATCTTAATACCTGGACCTGGGGGTGTTCTTCATAATTTTGACACACGCAATGGTTAATTTGGATGCATAACTGCAACATATCCCTATATCATATATGGACAACTGTAAAACTAAATTTAACGTTTCTTCTCTAAGAGTTGAGTTGAATAGCTTAGTGGTTAACTTGACACTCAGGGGATGCATCCTCCCCATCCTCCTCCACTCCTTTCAGAGGTTGGAAAAAATTGTTAAATGTCTATTTCTAAACGTTAAAAAAATAACTGACATAAATTAACTGACATAAAGTATTAAAGTGCTATTTTCCGGTATCTAGAAGTCCCCAATACATAAAATGTTCTCAAACTATGATGGGGTTGAGGTCGATATAGGCCTAGTAATTTTTTTAAATTTTATTTATTAAAGTACCATTTTCCGGTATCTAAAAGTCTCAAACTGCACCAGGGTCCAAAATTGGGGCTCTGGTGCAGTGGCATACCGCCTGCGCCCTCGTTGCGACAGTCCACAGAGCCCCCCACCCCCCAAATCCGAGGGGGGGGGATCATATCCATTGACGGATTGATTTTTAAAATATATAAATAAAATTACATCCAAATTGTTGCACTCCTTAATTGTGTGTTTACATCCCCATGTTACCATTTGGAAACCGATCAAGTGACATACGGTAGCGTCTATAAATAAGATTTTTGGAGGCTTCAGTAGGCCATAGTGCATATTCATGGGAACTTATTTTATACATGGTGTATCTGACTGGTTGTAACAATAGAATTACAGTATTAATTTCTGGAGAAATCATTTGTTTAATAATAATTTATCGATGATCGTAATATTCAGTGGCAGATTAAAGAGCGGCCCAGCCACCCTCCCACTATTTTTTCAAAATATAGAAAATTATTAAGTCTGAGAGAGCATTTTCCGGCCATCCGAGGTGCGTAATCATATATTTTCTTGCCTCAACGGCCCAAATCATGGTGGTACAAACTCTCCATGTCCCTCCCTGGGCCCCTTCTATTTCAAATTCCTCGAGCCGCCAATGACATACCATTTACTTCGCCATTAAATCATTTAGAATACATTGACAAACATAATTAAAAAATAATTGGCCTGAGGTAGATGGTAGTTTTCATAAATATTATATCAAAGAGCCGTTTTCGGGCAACTATGAAGTCTCAAATTCTTAAAATTTACTCATCTGCGGCCCAAAACCATGGTGGGGCTCATGAGGATATGGTAGATCTTGTAATTGTAATATGAGTACCGGTACTATTTTCGGGCATTTATAATTCTCAAATTCTTTTTTCACCATCCGAACCATGGTGGGGCCTCAGTTGGATATGGTAATTTTTGTAATTTTAAATATTCAAGTGCCATTTTAGGGCACCTATATAATTAATTCGGTTTTTTTTTTAAATTATTATTTATTTATTTTAACTCAATTTGTAAAAAATGAAAAGAATTAAAAGGTAATTTAAAAGATGGCACCTATCTAATTAATTCGGTTTTTTTTTTTTTTTTTAATTTATCTTAACTCAATCAATGTCCAAAATGAAAAGAATTAAAAGGTAATTTAAATTCAATTTCCAGGCATCCACAGGTACAAAATATTGAAAATGTTCACGCGTCACCGCCAACCGAGTTGGCGGTAACGTAGTGTGGACACTTTCACCAGAACCCCCACCCACCACTGGCCACCTCAGCCTGCCTTTCAATCCTATTGTCATGGGTTCAATTCCTGTCATTGTGCAGGATTTTAATTGTAACCCAGCCTAATAACTTAAAGGAATAGTGACTCGGGGTTTCTATTAAGAGTTTTATGGTACTTCGTGCATGACTATTTGTCATACTGACTAGAAATATCAAGTTGTGTGTTCTCAATTCAACTTCAATGCCGTAGCCAGCTATTGGGACATTCTCACACAATATTTCTAATGGGTCCACATAGAATGGTCCCACATTTTTCAAAAATGGGTCTAAATTATGCAGTTTTTGCACAAAATAGTGGACATCTGAAAAATGGGTCCAGATTCTCATATTTTGTATAAAATAGGTCAAATTTTAAGAAAATGGGTCCAGAGTTTTTTAGTAAAATGGGTCATCTTTTAAAAAAATGGGTCTGCTGTTTTAAACTTCGGCATGAACTGAGTAACAAATGGCTATGTTGCGTTTACCTGGATGCCTGCCACTCAATGTCACACCATTGCGAGTCAAAATTTGTGTACGTGCTAAGATGCCGCCCTAAAGCTGGGCACTCACTGTGTCGTACTACGGTCGGCCAACAAATTAAATGGACGTTGTGGCGCTAGTGATTGTTCAATTTAAAAACATTTGCTTGACAGCACCTTCTTGGAGTGGTACTTAACAGACCAATGTGCAACAGTGTTTCGTGATCCCAAACTCTGCGACTTTAAACTAACCACTTCTCTGCGGCTTCATCATTAACCTCCCACAATATTGATTTATGCTGTCATGATGAATTTGGCCAAGGGAAAAAAACTGGTACGGCAGCTGTAAAACACTGACATCATGTATAATTGGCCAGCCTTAAAAATGCAGGGAATTCGCAGGGAAAATTTTGTAAGGGGGTGTGTTCTGTAACATAAACTGGTAAGGGGTGACTTGGTATCCAGGTAACATGTCAAATCCGCTGTTGTAAAATTTTTGAAGTCGCCTTCAGTTGGGCTGGCTAGAGTAGTTATTTGCCATGCAGAAAAAACAATTTAAAACAGTCCGGTGAAGTTGGAGCCTAATAACACAACACAATGCTTGAATGACAGCAAACACTCAACAGAGGCACCACCCCACCCAAAAAAAAAGAAATATTATTATTATTATTATCCATTCTTTGTGAGAATATTCGGCTACCAGAAATAGCGTGCCTAAAAAGTATACAGTAGTATTTAGGGCACACACAACTACTGGTACTGATAGTAACTTAGCCTGCCTAGGAAGGACTAGTCTAACAAGAAGACCGAAACCAAACATCAATAAAAAGAAATCAACTCTCCACCACACGATACTGTTTCATCAATGGAATATACTGCACAGTATACTCAGAATATAATTATTTGGTAACGAACGAAACAAAATATAGGCCTAGGGTAGGCCTGTACACAGCCACTCAGTCATGGTTGGAAAACCAGTAAAAAATTAGCTCCATACTAGTCACCTCAGAAAAGATTACTTTAATCACGTAGATGGAAAGTAACATTCACATCTATATTATTCGCCTTATACTCATCACTGGTGACTGTCTAAAAAAAATAGACAAAAATAGAAACACAAACATAACAAAAGTGATGAGGAGCACTTATTCAGGTTGAAAACTTGGTTCACATTGACCACAACGGGTCTCAATTCCAAAAGTAGTTTCGTCAAAAATGCTACTCTCAAAACCAAACAAGATAGTGACATGACAAAAGAGGAAGATACTGGTGCAATAAAGAAATAAAAATAATTCAAATAAACGAATATACATTACAAAAAAAACACCACAATCCACACACACACACACAAACAACACAGAGACGACAACACGACGCGACGCCTAGCTTGTAACAAATCCTTGAAAACAAAATTAACCTTTGACATCTATGATGCTGTAATATAATATTGTACACTACAATTATACAGAAAAAGAAGAAATAATTTGCTAGTTAAATAATTTTAAAAAGCTAACTTATCATATAAAATTTATTAGAAACTTGAAACGATAAGTAATGCTGCAATTGTTTTATTTACTTTTGTATATTAATAAAAGTTATATGTGTTAAAATAAGATTTATATTTTATGCGGCCCAATCATGATTATGGTCCGCCGAATCCACACATTAGCCACGCCACACACGCCGCGACTCGACCCCATTCATTGTGGATGTTTTAGTTCTTTTAGCCGTGCGTGGTGTCTCTATTTGCAGCCCAGGCTTACGCTTCGGCTAGTCATAGATTTCTGATTTTAAGGTTTGTCCGTTATTTTACAACTGTATTATATATAATAGGCCTTATGTAGTATAGTTACAGAGTCTGATATGGAAGTTAGCCAAAGTTGGCTAGAGCCAGGCCTAGGGTAGGTCTTAGTTAGTATATAAATACTAATAGGCCTAGGCCCTAGGCTAGCCGCTAGGCCTAGTAGAAGCATCTAATCTGGGGTGGGTCTACACAGCCGTAGAGGCCTAGGCCTATTCATATAGGTACTGGCCTAAGCCTAATTTCTACTCTATTCAGTATAAGGGGAGGCCTGTCCTACCAGCTCGCCCTACCTACTACTACTAGCTAGTAGGGTTAGCCTCTCTACTCTCTAGTCTAGGCCTCCTAGGCCTAGTTTCAACCGGTCCAAGCAATAAAGTTTCAACTTACAGTAGAATATTTTGCAGGATAAAATAAATGTAAAACACTTCTTAACTAAATATTATGCTCTTAAAAATACTCTGTAAAACAATCATTCTTAATAATAATGCTATTACATATTTAAACGGTATTGTGTAATTCTTAGTAGACAAACAATACATATTTATTTACTCTTTATTTCAACAATTTGTATTTTATGACGGATGATTTACCTAAAATACAGTATACCCCTAACCTGCCGCCAACGTTGCACTGTGATATCTAATTCACGCATTGATTACTCTACTTGGCGTTCCATACACTAAACACTTATTTGGGCATTGAATATCTCAATTCTATAAAAAAATAAATATAGGCCTAATATATTAATATATACAGTAATTATAATAATACTAGTAATAATGATAAAAATAATAATAATAATGAAAAAAAAATTACAATAATTTTATTATTCACGTAAAATAAACCATAATTAAGATAGTAATAACTGTATATTATAATTAGGAGATTATAGTAGAGTATAGAGTGACAAGTAAAGAGTAAAAAAAAAACTTTTAGTAAGTTAATAATATATTAATTAAAACATGAATTAGTATACTAATAGAGAGGCCATTAATTATTTCAACAAAACCAGTATTGTGGCTGCAACTACAGTAATTGGATGATTCTACATTTCATGAGCATAAATTACACCAGGTTTTTTTTTTTTGCTGTCTTTAATAACAGACACTTTAAATTGTGAATGATAAGCCTGTCACACTAGTCCACCAACAGAAGAATAAATAGTATTAAAAGTGCAAATCGATTTAATTGTGCACGAGCTACCCCTGAACAGTTTGAAAATTGTCCCCGCATCTTAAAACCGTAATACTGTACAGTATAATAACAGTACAGTATTCTAGGCTCTTCTTCGATCACAACCATATTTTTTTTAATTTCTCTTTGTTGCTATTTTTCAGATGGCTAAAAGTATTCGAAGTAAGCGGAAAAGGAAGCTGAGAAACATCAAAAGGACTAAAAATGCTCCTAAAGAATTACAAAGACTAAAAAAATGTTTGAATATGCAAGGTGCAGATACTGAGCCAAAAAGATATAATTGTAAGTACACTAGTTGTATTTTTGTGTTAGTTGAAACAATAAATTTATCTGCATGTATGTTCACAAATTGTGTATGTATATGCAATCAATATTTGTTAACTCATTGTGCAAGATTTATAAAGAATTTCAGTTTTCATTTCATTTATTTCAGCAATTCAAACAAATATACAAAAGGACAAAAAGGACAAGAAAATACCCTTGTTGGTGGAAGGATAAATAAACAGCAAACTTAATTGTAGACAGTTTTTTTCTCCGACAAGGGCAAAACAGTAGAATGATAAATTGTAGTGAATTGTACATAATTTATTAGCTACTGTACACAGTTTGATTTAGACAGACAGTGTACAAAAAATGCAACAGCAAATCATAATTAAAACAGTTGAATGTATAATTCGTGATTGTAGAGAGTATAAAACTCCTTACAGCTGGAATGAGATCCATGAATCTCTGTCTACTGTATTTCAAGTGGTATAGCCGATTCCATAGGTGCACATCTCTGATGTAGAATTTGTTTAGTCTAAATTATTAATAAACTCTAATACCATTAATTTTTTTCTCTTGTCTTTAGTTTCTGATATTCGTGAATTAATCAAGAAAGATGAGGTGAACCAGGCTACTGGTACTCGTTACAATCTTAGTAAAATTCCTGGTTATAATTATTTTGGAATGGATATTCAAGAAACAATTGAAGGTAAACAGAAATCTTCAGAAACAAGAAGTAAACAAAATCCTAAACAGAATATGGATGTAGACAATGAAGGTATGTATCAAATTAATCACTTATGACTTGGGGCCAAGCTTCAAATGAGGATTGTTGGTGATAATCCCATTATTAAGTCTTTGTATAGAGAAGTTTGAAACTGGATGCAGGTGAGGATCTGGAGAGACTGGGCTGAAAGGTTGTCCATTAAACATAATACTTTTAGTTTTAGTTTTGTTTAAAAGCGAACTGAAGTATTGTGTATTCTGCTATAACATAGCAATATATTTAATAATAGTATTTATAACTGTTGTTATTATTGTATAGGTGTAATTTTGCCCTACCTGATGTGGAAACGTACTGAATACTCAGTATGTGTGAAAACAATTGCGAAGAAATCGCAAGTTGTTCTCAGGTGGGACTTGAACCCACGATCTCCAGATCACTTGCCTGGCATCATACCTCTAGACGACTGAGCTTGCACCTGATGGCCAGGGTTGAATTCGATTTGCGCAAATCCAGTTATTGTCTATTCCATCACGACAATAACAATTACTATAGTCGAGTTCGCCTAAGTCGAATCTAATGGGACTGGCATAAAAAGTTCGAATTATACAGATTTCGACTTGCACATTTTCGAAAAAAAATATATTAACATAGAACAATACTATGTGTACTCAATGCCCACAAAATCGAATTTCACACAAAACTGAACATTTTCTTAAGTCCCAAACTCATTCCTATTCTTCTTTTAATAAAATACTTTTCGAAAACATGAACTCCCTATTCCAAATCTCGGACGATTTGTCCAATTCAGGACGGTAACACTCACTCGAAAAACCAGACGATAGTTTAATAGACATCGTTTAATGACAAGCATACCAGACGATGTGAAAACGAGACACTTAGCTATACTCGCATTGCCATGGAGATTATCTGTTGATTAACACGACACACCAGTAGATGTTTTCTTTGTTAATTATGAAGTGAAATTTATGCATTCCAATGTTTTAATAAGTGTATATTCTTGCTTTTAATCCTTAAAAACCATTTGGAATCAACCTGCAATAAAGAGGGAACTCAACAAAGCAAGTTTCTACTGGTTACTCTTTTCAGTAACGTCTAATTCAAATTCGTTAGATTCGTCGGTGTAAATTTCAAATGCACCTCATTCATTCTTTAAACTCAAGACGCTTTTCAAAACATGTTGCTAATTTAATTACGGAGGAAATTTGTAGAGAATAAAATATAATTTGTCAGGTTTATTTAGATTTGACTCTAAAATATACATATGAGGGTTTCTTATTTGTTTTTTGTTTTGTTTTATAAACTTATTTAATTAAAACATTCTTGATTACACCGAGCTTGTTACTGTCACGCATTTAAAACTTTGGGCGATCAGACGTCATCACAGCCGAAGCACATGTCTAGTCTGCAAAACACCCCACGAAAATGGACCAATTGGCGGGCAGGAAGAGTTTTTGGGGGCGCAACCTGTTCTGTTTGCAACTAGACTGCCGACCAGCAAGTGGCATTGCCCAATGAAGAATGTGTGCTTGGAAAAACATAATCAGACCTAAAGAAATGCACGCAAAAACAATATAAAATTCGCATCAGTTTTATTAATTAAATTTTCTGAGCAGTACAGCAAAACAACAGGTACTGTACGTATTAAATAATGTGTTGAATTTGCGTAGGCTAGGCAGTCAAAAGAATCCAGGGCTTTGATAAATTAATTAAATAGCTAGGCCCTGACTACAACAATCTTGTTCGAAATGGGTTCAGTACAAGTTTTACAAACTAAACTGGACAAAAAACCGAACATTGGAGCCGATCCGGAGGGGTGTCTGTATTGTGAGAGTAGACTGCAACTTACGACATACGACCATGTGAGCCAAGTTCCACAGCGCGCTGTCTGAGGTGTTAGTTTGACATGACTAACTTGTTGCCATACAACAAGGATTGAACTTCGTATTTTCCCACTGTTGTGTATTTTTCCCACGTGCGCTACTAAATTTGGAACTACGACTTGTGTGGTTGAAATTACTTTAAAATCGGCCTATCCGGACAGGAAAATTCCGTCGATATAGCCGAAATTCAACTTATAAAAATTCGAATTAAACAAACAATTTACACAGTAATACATTGGAAAGAATTGGGACTTTTTAAAAAATTCGACTGACGCGAATTTTCGACTTAAACAGAGTCGACTTTGGCGGACTCGACTGTATCAACATTGCAGTACCCGCTGCTTACTTGGACTCTTCATTTGGTGGCCCCCAAGTACACTATCTCCTTACCATCAACATATCTGCAAAGCCTTTTAAAGCACATTTAAAATTATATCTTTATCCCTTCTAAATTTTGCTTCCTCTCATGTTTTTTGTTTCAAACATTCAACCTAGTTTGTCCTCTGTGGGTTTTTTGAAGCACCTAAGGCATGTTTACTGCATAAGTGTGCATCCATTAATCATTGACCATTGGTATTGGTTGCTCTTTAATTAGTGGAAACATTAATTTATTAACTGTTTGAATAGCCTTATTAATTTATTTGGTTTTTAAATGCCCAGCTTCTCGAATATCTCTCACATGAGAGTAGGTGGAATAAAGGACAACTTATCCATTACATTTATGTGCCGGTGTTCCACTATAACTTCTGCAGTTCGCAAGGGGCCAGCCAAAATTTTCATTTTTAAATATTTTGAAGTGGGCGAAAGGGTTTTTTTTTTGTTATTTTATATATTATTTGTATTCCTTATTTTTTTAGTACTGTATAATGCATTCTATTGTGCCTATTTTCATGATTCACATTATAGCAACTTTTTTATCAATTGCATAAATATGAAAATTTTATAAAACTCATTCCTTTTTTTTTTTGTGTTAGATGTTGATGATCACATTATGGAAGTTGACTCCAAAAGGAATCTAAAAACATTAAAAAATGAACACGGAAATTACCCAAACTGGATGAACCACAGGCAGGTGAAAAAAGCAAAGGCAAGGAATGCACACAGTAAAGTAAAAAAGAAGAAAGCCAATAAAAAAAGAATTGCTTGGTAGTAACACACATTGAAACACTGACTGCATGTGGCATAGGAATAAGTAAATATAATGAAAAAGTAAACTTTAAAAAAAAGAAGCTAGTGGAGAAAGAATGAAGTCATAGAACCCAAAATTTATTAACTATATTTGTATGAAATGCATCTTGTTTGTAGTGTTTCTCTTACAGTACTTTAAGAATAGCATTTAATTGGTTCCTACATTATTTAATGCTCTGAAATTGTTTAGATTCTAAATGTAAAGCTCTGATTTGTAATATACATTTCCTGAGTGTCAATCAAACTTAACTACTGACCAATCAGAATAGGGCCATGAATACTCGCATGTGTTACATACACGGATTGTCCGACAAAAACGCGCATGTTTACATACACTTGCGCTATTGTTTTGTGGGACCTTAGCAATATTCAAAGGGCGGGGCTTAGAGAAAGGTTTCATTGGTATGTAATCAAAGTGTAAGAAATAGAATAAACTTCAAGATCTATGTTGTGCCCTCTACCAGCATGCTAATATTCAATAACTACTGTATACTGTTTCTTAATACATTCCATGTTTCACTACTATACTGTTGCTGTGACAACTACAGTATACAACTTGTATAGTTGTCTCAGACTAAGGGCACAATGAAACACATTATTTTTATGCTTAGATAATAAGTAAGTAGTTTATTCATAATGACCTATTAAAGATCTTGAGGCTTCATAAGTGCAAAAAATATCTATAAAATAGAGTATTAGACTTAATAGTGAAACACATCTTCTTGGGGATCTATTAGACAAGAACTGAAACACGCAGTATTTAAAATGTCATCCTAATAGAATTTATAGTAGTAGTGTTTACGCAAAGTGTACAGTGGGTGGGGTTTTAACACATTCCACTTATTAAAAATATAGTGCAAACCTGGTAATGTTTCACTACTGCAAAATAGAACATAATCTGTCACAAAGCTCATTTACAAGCAACTATAAATCTACTTTCTATGGAGGTCAAAGTGTCTCCCTTCATCACTCACCACTTCACTGATTCATAGAAAATAAGTACAGTACAATGTTCACATTTTGAGACTTATGGACAATAAATACACTTTATAATTGTGATATGCACTGAAAGATATCATTTTGGAATGTTTAAAATTGAACAATCTGTCACCTTTGCACTTTAACATTTCTTTGGCATTTAGAATAAACAAAATTGACTAGCACAACCACGATAATATAATAAGCAATTCTCTTTTTACACAATGTAAACGTAAATGATGCACACTTCCTTCTGACTACAGTTATGAAAATGATAGATGATGCTGTTGATGTCTATACTTTAAGATTAAGAAAACAATTTTATTTAAATTATTTCATGGTTTAAACAACATTTTCTTAAAATGTTAGAAATTTTTCAGTGTTTTTTTTTCAGCCTATAAAGTGAAGTACCCATCAACAGATACATATAAAGCCACAACATTTCTATCAATTACAAAACAAATGAGTGTAGTATATGTTCCAACATACGACAAACCTTTACCAGTACAGTATTTAAATATTGATATTAGTCGAAGATTACAGTACCATTTAAACATGGAGTACCGTCTAGTGATGTATCTATTTAGTTAATAATTTCTTCACAAAATCTAAGGCAGAGGAAATACATTAAAACAATTTAAGTCTATTATGACAGACAAGTTGCACAATTTATTTAAAAAAAGAAACTACATTACGATTACATTATAACATTATAAAACCATTAATTTTTTAATCTATATAGTTCCAGTCGAAGTCACAGCTTTCGGTCGTTTCACTTTCGACTTCCACCCCCACACCTCAGTGGACCCTGATTTAGCCAGATGAAGTTTGCTTCATCGGCCTATGCGATGGTGCATCTAAGGGTGCCTGACATCCCCCCACCCCCGAAAACTAAACGCTCGCTCCTCTCCCACCACTAGTCGCCCTTCCACCATGAAAAATAAATAAATAAATACGCCCAATTAGTTAGAAATCAGTACAGTATTATTTTTAAATAAATAAGATATATTATAGTTTCTTTTTTTCCAAAATGTACATATTTATCAAGATGATTTTTACAGGGTACAATACAACAGACCATACAATATGACTACAATCATATCCAGTATAGTACCAATGTCAATCTAAACCGTTTGATGTTTTGACATTGAAATGAAATTTTTTTTTTAAACATTTAGGGCTACAGGTAGGCTACAAAAGGGACGGATAATTTGTAAGGCCTGTTAACTGAAGCTGAAGTACTTGGCAATTTATGGATTTTTTTTTAATGAATTTGGAAATTTTATTTAATGTTTGACACTAAAGTCTTATACAATTTATAATGGACCTTTTCAAAGTCTCAGTCAAACAACACGTGATCATTATGATCAATCAGAGCAAGACCAAAATGCGCTAGTCCTATAAATGTGTTGTCTAACGAACACATCGTTTATGTACCGGTACGTCTAATGCCTAATATGCATATAGCGTGGTCACTAGATAACAACGGGAAACCAACACAAATCATTTGCCTTTTACTACCGTAACCTATCTGTTTTGTAGTTTTTGTTTCTCGTTTAGTTACACACTGTAGCCTATACATTTTATTTTTCTACATACATAGCTTCAATAGAATGAGAAGTGTCTACATCCATATGTAAAAAGTTTTGTTTACGACGCTGGTATTTTTTCTGAACTGTAGCTTCATTTAACACTGATATGATCGATAGTGATCATTTACTAGAACCTTTCCTTGCCGATGGAATTCTGGGAAGGCTGTTAATGAGAATAAAATGGGATATACAATAAAGTTACATTCATGCTACAGCTAAATTATTAGAAACTATCAATGATCTATTAATAATTTTAATAATAATACTGTAGTAATGATATTTATAATAATATAATAGTAATAGTAATAATAATTATAATAGTAGTAATAATAACAATAGGCCTAATATTATAAATAGTAATATTAATAATAATAATATAATTAATATCAAGATATATTATTTAAAAAGTATCTACCTTGTTGAACTTGTAGCGCCTCGGCTTAACAAATCCCCCTTTTCAATGAAGCTTCTAAGTCTTGTTGAAGATACCTTCCTTTCAGTGCCTGGTTTAGCAGCATCAATGAACTCCCGCCTCAGCGGTAAACCAAGAGGATTCATATCGCGCTGTTGGACGTTATTCGTCTTCATGTTATATTTTTCTTCCATGTCCAGTGGATTATCGATAATGTTTTCATGCATTGACAGAAAAAGAGGTATGTACGCCATGTAGTCAATGAAAGATATCTGTCGAGGGTAGAAAAATGTATAGCTTATACAGTATTATGTAATTACAATATAGGAAGTGACATATATTGTAATGATGTAACTATTAAATTCATAGCCTAATTATACAATAATAGACGTAAGTAATTTCAGTCGTGCATTATATAGGCTATAATAGTTTTTCCTTGAAAATAATCACCATTATGGATATTATATCAATAGCACAGTACTGAAATGCCACCGGCATATCATTTTTTATAATTCAACAACAAATTAAATTATATCAAGTTATAAACTACAATAATATTCAAACACATAGACCTAATTCTAGATTTTAGTAATTTAAGTTAAGATATATGGTCATTTCGTTTAATGCTATATAAAACATTGGGAATTTGTCCTTTCATTCATCCATAGGCCTAATTCAAACATGCTTACGTCACTATATTCATCGGGCTTCATGAGTGACATGATGTACTCTTCCTGGGCTCTGTTTAGTCCGCCAGCACGAAGTTCAATGTGTAGTGATTCAGCTGTAATGTGATTATCACTTCGCTCTGAATTTACATTGCAGTAAAACATAGCCTGCAGAGGGTAAAAGAAACACTACGTTAGCATGCAAACCCAAATAGCTTATGCTTATATTCTCTGGTTCTTAATAAGCGGAGCAATTTAATCGGAACCGAAAGAAAGGCAAAATATTTAAAAGAACTTAAAAATAATGATTCGATGAAAATTTTCAATTAAAGTAAAGACACCAAAACGCAATCCCTGGGTCAAGTGCACCAATCAACTTAACCTGAAAACAGCTCGTGGATGATTTGAAGGTGGCGGGCACGTTAAATAGAAATTATAAGCGCAAAAAATCGATGCTGGAACACCGCGTCTTAAAGAGAAGGGTTCCCCTCTCAGATATAACATTTACATTGTACACCTGCTACCATCAACAAGTAAATGTCCAACCAAGGTTGGTACTCTTAGCTCAGCAAGAGAGAGTTCCCCAACGTACTTTTAAAAGAATATGAAACTCTAAAACAGGTTTCATCCTCTGTGGTTCTAAGCTGTCCCTTGCCCCGCTCCGTACGCTCCCGCTTCGTGTCAGGAAAATTGTGCCGTTACTGGATAATTTTAACCGAACAAAAAAAGTTAGAACATTACTTTTGGCAAAATAACAATGAATCAATCTTATGGTTGTGCCGCTGTTCGTGTCCTTATTTTCTTCTCGTCTTGACCACAGATGTTTCAGAATTTTAATGAATAACATAGTGTAGTACAATTTAAAGTAGAATTTAACTAGAATCTCTGAGTTTTACCCCAATTTCTCCCAAGTATAAAGTGTTGCTTGCAACTCGGACATTACCTTTGTTCCGTGACGACCAACTTTACAAATAATTTGGCAATGTAAACAAATCAATTAAGAACCAGGGGGTAGGGAAATGATAAATGTTCCCCAAAACGTATTACCCTATGTGATAAACCTATACTTAACTGATTGGAACATGTAACATGAAAGTATTTCTGAGATGAAAGTATAAATACCTTTTGGTTAGAAAAAATCATGAAATTATAATGGAGATAATTTGTTGAGAAGATACCATACCTTGTATAATTCCATTTTACGCTCGATGTCCATTAGATCGGAGATGTCGATTAGATGTTGGCTGAATGAGCTGCAATGCAATTTGTTTTAAAATGTTTATACTTATGCACAGAGTTGGCATACATTTACACTGTATTATGAAATCTACACACTGATTGCACTTTTATTTTTTCCTTATTGAAACACCCGTTTGAATAAATTAATGTCTGTTTAATTTCATTTATTACAATAACATCTGCTGTAACTTAAGTTTACTTACTCCATTGTGCACATCCTTTCACTGAGTGCCGCCATCACTGCAAACATCTTAAATGTGATCATCGAATGTTCATCGATATTGAGAACCTTAGAATAAATATTCACCATCATCATTGCCATTATTATCATTATTGCCGCCATCATCATCATGATCATTGTCATAATTATTCATTA